ATATGTATATACACATTGTGCATTTTCGAAGTAATTGATATGTATATGTTAATATACGGTTTTATTTTTTATATATGTACACATTCACATTGTATACTATACTGCAAAGTTATTCGATGTTCAGGCAACAGGCTTTTCCGGGTTCCCGAATTCGTCATTGCTTCGGTTTATGGCCCAGGGTTCAAGACTTCAGGACGTTGGTGTTCAGGGTTTAAGGTTCAGGGTATGTGGCTGTGCTGTGGGATAGTATCTAAGCGGAAAAGTGAAGAGTGCAAGGCATCCTCGGTACTCGTGTCATCCCACCCCGTGCAGCAGAGCTTGCAATATGGTGTCAGAACAGCTCTTTACCAGGGATCCAAACCCTAAACCCCCTATCACTACAGGGGCCTGGCCCGAACTTGCTCATGCAGATGACGTCTTCCACCAATATCATTCGGACGTCCCGAGGTCAGGTGAGGATAAGTTTCTCTAGTACCGTGGGCTGCTTCTGGACGTCTGTTCTGAGGAACATGAAATAGGGTGGAGGAGGGTGGTTGCGCTGACGTGGTTTGCCAACTCAGAGGTTCCCAGTTTTCCTAAGTTGCAGGCACCTTGAGCTGTTTTTTCTGGCCAAACAGTAGCTGCTCTTTTTCGAGGCATTCGGACGATCTGAACTCGTGTGCAGCATCGGTCCGTGCACGGGGCTGTAGGACTTCTTCTTCAAGGTTAACTAACGGGATCATGCCTGCCCCTAAAATGAAAGGTGCCACAGCTGCGGTCCCCGTCGACGAGGCAGACTCTCGGCTCACATGTACAGAGCGTGAGCCCTATCAACTATGCTGTAAGCCCAACCCTAACAGCAATCATAAATGTCATCCTGGGACACCCGCGCTTGATACATTTTCAAGCTGCCACCCACACCTATATTGTGATCCTCATGTGGGGGGCAAGATCTCCGGGTCAACATGCAGAGCTGCTCTCTGCCCCGATAAACGGGTGAAGCTTTAAGGACGCGAATGGAATGCATGGTTGTCTTGAGAGCTAGGGATGGCACGGGACAGTGTTGCTTGGCCTTTCCGGGCACATACAGGTGTATGCTGCATGCACCACAGGGTATTTGTTTCAGTCCAGATGGTCTAGTCATGTTGTTTGGGACGCCGGAGGCCGCAGCAAGGGCTGCCTTTGGAGGCCCGATATGGAAGAAGTGGCTCAGGGCCTGTAGGCCGCATCGAAGACCAAGGTGAGGTATGGCTCAGGATACTTACCAAGCTTGGGCCTGGAGTTGATGTTATTAGCTGGGAGACAAATCAGTCACAGCAGCACTAAGATCGGTGGCAAATGTGTTCGCACAAAAAGGGCTGGGACGTATTGCAAGTATCCTGACCACGATCGCATGTATGTCGCATTGTCGAATTCAGCGGCACCTAAGCTGTGATCACAGTGTCATGGTGGGGATGGCGGTCACATCAGTAGTTGTCTCATTGCTCTTTGAAATTGAAGACTACTTGAAGTTCTTCTAAGTGCTTCCCAGGTTTTTGGGTATCTTCCGTAGACAAGCTTGACAGGTTAGGCTGAGATTCATGATGGCTGGGCTGCTATGCAACTGTTGTCGGTAGACGATTCAGCCGATTGTGTCGCGAGTGTTTGGTGGTTTGCACGGTCCTCAACCCTCAACGGCCTCAACGTCCTTGGAGGACATTGCGATCCGATTGATCCACTCTTTTGGCGACCTCACCTCGGCGTTCAACCTGCTGCCGAAGGCAGCTGCAACTTTTGGATCTGGAAAGCACACCAGAAGCCTAACAAGCGGCTACTGGTTTGTAACATGTGATTGATGTGTGGTTGTAGCGTGTCTGCAGTGATGGAATTTTGCCAGCTGTGGTTCGAAGCTTGGACTCACTTAGAGAGCATGTTGACATCATGGGTGCTCGAGTGAGAAGGATTTGCTTTTGAGATCGGTCAGACTTCGACTGGCGCAGTGGCATTCCGGGAAGCAGACTTCCCCACTCGTAGATTTAATCTCTTGCAATGAATGGCTCTCCCTCTCTGCCTGCAGCCAGGCCAGTCAGGTGAATCAAACTCAGCCTCGCAGTGTCTAGTCCGCAGATGGTTTGCCCTAGACTCGCCCGATTCCCTCCAGCATTTGAGGCGATGCTCTTCATCAGGAGCAGTTTGTTTCGGGGAGTTTGTGTGCCGCTATAATCAGAAACTGTGTGGCCCGGGGGATCTTTTCCGTGTGGCGTTGTGATGTGTTCAAGGTAGCCTGCTGACCTGTCACGGAAGTGGAGTTACCTCTGGTAGGCCGTAAACTACGGCAGTAGGTTTCCCCCGCACCACTCCTCCCAAGAGGCCTACAGACTACCATGCTAGTCTTACTGGCCCTTGTGCCTCCTGAGCCTTCGGAACTTCGGTGGAGTAGTCAGTTGTTGGTGGTTCGAGAGGACCTACAACCCCAATGTCGCGAAACCGGATCTTGCAGAGGATGTTTTCGATAGTGTTCTTTGGAAGGATTTCGGGACATGAAGGGATACTCGAGTAAAGATGACAGGGCCACATGTGCCTTCCCTGCGAACTATACACCATCCTCGCCTGCATTGCCCGAGTTGCGAGCCTAAAACCTAAACCCTAAACCGAATCAGTGGACCCTCCCCTGGCATGTCCGAGTTGGGAGAGCGTAAACTGAATCAGTGCAATGTGATTACAAACTGGAATCTCCGAATTCCTTTTTATGATTATAGTATACTGGGTCAGTTTTTTTGGTCCCAAGATCTTATTCTAATTAGTAAGGCCCCTATATTAAGTCCGTAAACCCTCCCTTGAGGCACCTAGTAAGGACACGACAGAACTCATAAACCCCGAAGCCTTCAGGCGCGGCCGCGAATCGCAGCTTGTCCCCCGAGGTCGCGTTTGGATGATTCTAATTCGGGGTATAGGGAATGTACCTCGCGGTTTAGGGGTTGGGCTTTTCAGGCAGAGCGCAAGCGGAGGCCCGACTGTCACCATTGATGAGGTTTTCCATGCGGGATTTACATGTTTCAACTTTGTCCTGTTACATGTTTATGATCCCTACCTTCCTTTACGTTTCCAGCAGAACCTACTCCATGTTCGATTCCCTGTCTTTTCGAAGCGGTGAAAGCATCCGACCAGCTGTAGGGCACTGTAGGGTCAAGGTCATGTGGTTTGGGGAAGTCTCTGCTTGTGGCCAGGGCTTCTAGAGCCGAAGCCTTTGCTTTCTTTTGAGGAAGCTTGTTGTCGCAATTCAAACTCTCGACCCTCCTGCAGACTGTTGTGGCCCATGCTGAGCCCCCCCAAAAAAGCCCTAAAAGCCCCAATCCGAAGGCCCAAACCCGGTAATCCCCGAAGCAAAACCCTAGATTCTAGATTAGATCCCTATGTTAAGCAACAGACGTCGGATCCCAACCTGCGCAAGGTCAGGGCAACACTAAACGCTCCAAGCCCACTACTCCCCGAAGGGCACTTGCCGGGGACCCCGAACGCAAAGTCCCAATGCCGAAATCCCGACATGCAGGACATGATAAGTTCGCTCTCTCCCTCTCTCCCTTGTGTATTCATTCTCTCTCTCTCTCTCTGTCTCTGTCTGCATATACACATCCACATTGTACATACATACGTACATGCATTACATATAATTACATACACAAGTCTAAACCCCAAACCCTGAAGCCTAAATCCAAACCCCTATATATCCTAAAGCCCAAGCCCTGCTTTGCGAGTTCTTTGGACCTGCGCGGCTTCCGGGAGCCTCGAAAGCACGCCCAACCGACTTGGGCGGCCATGTTGCCGGGCTCTTGGAGGGCTGAAAGCTTAAACATAAAAGGGGCTGAGGGTTTAGGGTTGGTTTCGGGTTAAAACAACAGGGGCTTCGCTAGTTACTTCATTTGCACGAGGAGTTCAGAGTTGAGGAGTCTAGGGTTTGTTGTTCTTCATGTTCAGAGTTTTCAGGATGACCTACAAAGGGATCCTATTTTAGAGAACTACCCACTTAATACTCTTAAAGACTGCCTGAAATATGGCTCACTACTCTGATAACCATGTCATGAGATCGTAGTGTCAGGGAATGTGACCAGACAGAGCGCTCAAAACTCCTGCAGATCTTCCCCCACCCTTACAAGGTGAACCCTGCCCGAAGCACGAGGGAATCGAACAGAATATCCCAAACCAGGGAAGGTCTCAGTATAGCAGTATAGTGCAGTATAGTATAGTATAATACGGTATAGTAGAACCCTATATGTAATATGGTATAGTATTGTAGAGAGCAGTTCTACAATGCACACAACTCCGCGCCCAGGCACGCAACGCCCCGCGGGAGGCAAAAGCAGATGGGGACGTTTATGCCCTTACCGTCTCTAGGATGACCTTGGTGACTGTATAGGGTTTAGGGTTTAGGGTTACTGTTTATGGTAGGGATGTCCTTGGGTTCGTTTTGGATGTGGGATGGTAGCATTGTTGCGGGCAGGGAGATCACAACCAGAGTCAAGAACCGTACATGAGCCTTGATAATCCTCTATCTAACTACCTCTCGAAGGTCGTACTGTATCTCTCTACACAGGCTTTCTTGGGGGCAAAATCCAAAATCTGGAGTTCTCCTTGTCTTGGGCTCGCTAAAATCCTGCAGCTCAGGAGCGGCAGTGGCTACACGCGCTTCGCGGCTCCAGCCACTGCAGGCTTCCCGGCCCTTCCCGGGCCAGGGCATCTTGCTTAGCTTTTGCTGCGGCGAATTGGGGATAATGTAGGGGCCTTAATAATTAGAATAGGGTTTGGGGCTGGTATATTATCCTGTAGTTATAATAATACGGAACCCTAGTCTAATTATTAAGGCTCCTACCTTAATGCTTGTCGTGGAGGGCACGGCTCAAGGCACAGCCCTTGCCAAGTTTTCGCAGGAGCGGCGGAGAGATATGCTAGGAACTGCTTGAAAGCACGCCTACCATCGTCATAAGAACTGACCAAGACCGCATTCTCTTATCCGTTGCTCGGAAAAGCAGATGCATCCGCCGTAAATGGGGTTTGAGCCAGTCGGCCATGCTCTATCCCTGCCGTCACTGCCATCCACCGAGAGCAGCCACAGCCCTGAACGCTTAGCCAGACTCTACAGCAATTTGGACCCAGAGCGGCTCCGAGCCGTTCCTTTAAGCATTTGCTTAGAGAGCTGGGGCCGCCACTTCAGAAATGAAGTGGAGGGCGCGTTCTCCGTGGACGCAGCAAATGACCACCTCAGCCAAAAGACTGAGCAGATCGACAATTTTCTCAGCCATGATTGGGCCACCAGCCGCTTCCTCAAAGTGCTGACCCTCCTTTGGGTGTTCAACATCCGAGCCGCCACTATTGCAACCTTCCTTATCAGTTGCATCCTGGGGTTCCTCCGTATCTACTGGTATGGCACGGGCAGCATGATGGACCACTGGTGCTCCACCTTTTTCGGCTATGCGACATTCGTGATTGTGTTTTGTTGGTGGCAAAGAATCCAGTCTCTTTTCGGCATCAGCCGCAAGGTCTTCCTGGACAAACTGTGCATCGCCCAGCACAATCCGGCGCTGAAGCAGCAGGGAATCCTTGGCTTGGCCGGCTTCCTACAGAAGTCGAACACGCTCACGGTTATGTGGTCGCAACGATGGGCAACTCGCCTTTGGTGTACCTACGAGTTAGCTGCCTTCATGCGTCAGGGTAACCTGCAGATTGAGCTCATGCCGGTGAAGCTGGCGGGCATTTTGCTGATGCAGGGATCCTGCTGGGCGGCGATATCCATCGCCCATGCGATTATGGCCTCTGACGGTCAGGAAGGTGATCCCGATTATAGCGCTTACACGCTGTCCCTCATCGGCATTGGGATCTTCAGTGTGATCCTGATCGCTCTCACTGCTGTGATGGTGCACACAGGCCTGTGGCTCATGAAGGAGTTGGATGAGCTGCCAGGGCAGTTGAAAGCGTTTCGAATACAAGATGCCGCGTGCTACTGCTGTGCTCACGGCCACCGCCATCCAAAGACTGGGAAAGAAATTCCATGTGACCGAGAGTATGTGTACTGGATGCTTCGTACTTGGTTTCATGATCCAGAAGCACCGGACAAGTCGCACCTGGATTCGTTCAATGCCATGGTGAGAGAGCAGCTGGCACCCGTCGTACTTAAACATGCAGGTGGGAGCACGCTGCCTTTGAGTTACGCCTTGTATGTTTGTGCCGCATGCAATTTGCCCTGGCTCATTGACTACATCCCCTGGTGGGCTGCCGGGTATTGTCCAGAAGAGAAAGCTGGCTTTGCTTTCTTGTTGTGGTGGCTGCGCGGCCTTATGCTTTTCTTGTACCATCCTCTTCTGCAGCTCGCAATGATGCGAATCTGCACGATGATGTGGAAAGCCTTGCTGCCACTGGCAGAGCGAACTTGGCGCGTGGCACTGACAGCCGTGCAGATTCTCATCATGATCATCGTTGCGCTGGCTGTGTGGCTTGCGTTTCGCTATGTGTACCAGGTCACAGACAGCACAAGTTTGCTGCCGGGTTTGCCCTTTGTCGCTCTTGTCATCCTGGACATCGCCCTTTTCTGGCGATCTGGGGAGCGGGCTACAGCTTCTGCCAGACCAGATCACAAAGAAACAGGCCCGTCGTCTTCGCATGCCACAGACCCTGAAAAAGAAGATGTCGAGAAGAAAGATGAAGATGATGGGAGGACTCCCGGTCACTGCATCTGGCACATCTCCGAAACAGAGGCTGACGGGCAACTGGTTGAGGTGAAGCTGTAAACTTGGAATCAGCGGAAATGAAGTTTCTCCAGACAGGCATAAAGCCATGAAGCAACGAAAGGCTGCGGCTATGGGAGCTCGGGTGCTTCCGAGTCGCTTTGTTTCACTACTACCCGTTTGCTCGTACCACTGTTGTACGAAGCTGTGACTGCCTGGCACTGGACCCTCCACCTACCTTCTCTCAAACCCTACAAAAACCTACTATTGGGGACCACATGCCCCTGGAGGGTCTAGAGTTTAGGGTTTACTGTGAAGGAAGGAGGGTCCTGAGGCGGGTTTTTCCAGATTTCAGCTAAGGAAGTCTCCGAAGGCTTCGCCCTGCTCGCCGTGGTCAACAGAGATCGTGTTGACCCCTTTTTTTACGGCCAGTCAGGTCAGACCCCTTTTTCTAAAAAGGTTCTTGAAAGCTTCTGAAAATGAGAGAAACCCTTGCAACTGCAGACAGTTCACCGCGATGATCAAGAGCCACCTGCTTGTTTCGCGTGTACCGTCCTGCAGCACTAGCTTGTTGCCTGAAGGCTGCTCCCAGAGGCAGAGGCACGGATGGAGGCGGCCGAGCTCCTGTTGGTAAAGGACGTAGCTCATAGGTGATGAGGCCGTTTGATCGCTTCGCATGTCGTCTAGGGTCGGTTCAACTGCGTGCCGGCGAGACTTGCAAGACGATGCACAAATCGAGAGCTGTACCGAAACCCTGTAAATCCTAGAAGCCCTAAATCCCGAAGCCGATAAACCCTCTTCCATCTTTTTTTGAATCTACTAAAATGGATTATGTTGTGGGAGATTCCTTCGTGCAAAAACAGGCCAACCGGCAAGTCGAGAATCAGGGCCGCCGCACCGTCGTTCCAGCCTGAGGGTGCTTCTTTTCATTTTCTGGAGGTTCAGTTGAGTTAGTATGTGAGCTCATAAGATAAATGCCTGAATTTGGTTATACGTGGTATACCTATAACTACTCAGTAGGTAAGCTTATAAGTAAGGTAACTATAGTTATATCAACTTATAACCCGACTCGGTAAGCTAAGGTAAGTATAGTGATACCGACTTATAGCCCCAATTCAGGTACTTACATCCGCGCTTACTAAGTGCCCTGAAACTCCATGTAGGCGGTTCGTTAAAGGGATCTAGAAGAGTTGCAATGAGGTTTCCAGTATAGGACTTCAATAACTACACCAGGGTTTCGGGTAGCTTGCGCCAAACTGTAAGGCGGTGTAAGGGGATAATATGTAGTGAAAATTTAAAGCTCTTTGAAGGAAGAGGGTCGATATGCATTATAGATTTTTGCCCGCAGGTTGCCTTCTTTCCCTGTAACCTCGAGCCGGTCCTTGCTGAGTTCAGGGCTTTGGGTCATCCCTTCCTGTGGTTGCAGTATATCATGGAATAAACAGGAATAAACCACACAATATCGGCCCAACATGAAGAACATCACGCTATGATGACATCAGATAAAGCAGGACCCTGGCGTCACAACGTCGCGCCTGGAACCCATAACTCAAATCCCAAATCTGACACGTGCAATAATGTGGCCGGCCGAGGAGGCGACTCTTTCCGGGTCTCTGCAGCCAGCACTTCGTGAGTTGACTTCGCCGGAATCCTACATCCGCCTTCCGAGCTGACTTGCAGGAAAAGCCATGCATGCAGAATATCAAAGAATATGTACATACATACGTACACACGCGCTTACATACATACAGATATATATATATATATCTATCTATATATATTTATTTATTTGCTTATTTGTTTATACCCACAGACTTACATAGACATTCATGCATGCATACATTGACACTTACAGACATACATATACATATACAGGTACATATACATATACATATACATATGAGCATTAATCTAAAGGTCCTTGTGTGGGGATTATATAAAACGGTTTTAACATGTGAAATAGAGTGTCCGCGAAAGATCCGC